GCCGAATATATGTCGATAAATAATATAAACATTGCCATCTGTCAACTGGTGTGTATCGAACTCTCTTTAACCAGCGATGCAAATCAATAACAAGAAGATTATAAATGTGCATCGATGGCAATCTTTGTTGTTCTTTGTCAAAGTTCAAAGTTACGATGATATCAGTATTTAAATATTTATTGATAAATATTTGTAAAGAATACTTAAGTCCATGTGACATATCGAAATTAAAAGAAATTTAGTATGGCACCTTTGAAGATTACTATCATATGACCGATGAAGAAATAATCTTAAATGTAAGTATCGATCCATAAAGATTTTTAAATGTGTACATCGAAATCATAGAAAATTTAAAGTAAAGAATTTCCGACATTAATCTTTATTTCTGTATAAAGAACTTTGAAGAAGTTTCACGAACGGTTGGTCGGGAACCATCCGAGTTCTTAGGCTCTGAACCATTCGGCGATTTTTTTTTTAACTTTTGGTTAAAATTTGACAGATGGAAAGTTATCGATGAACCCTGCTATCTGAGCATGGTTATTTCTGACAGACAAGAAGTTAAATTTTGACAACCGTGACTCGAAAGCCGGTCGATCAACAGCACGGTGATTTTCGAACATAGAAAATAATTTTCGAAATGTCACTTTTAACCACGAATTAAATTTAACTCAGCAAATCTCGATGAACATTTCAAATGGTCCTATCTGCTTTGATCGATTCTCTTCATCGACTTTCTCTTTCGTTAATAACTCAGCTGCAAAACCTTTCCCTGTTGTATTTGACGTTTTGGACGCTAGATAAGAACCTCCTTTATCAAACTATGTGGTAGAATTAGCGCGAAATCTGTTTGCATAGCAGTGGTTATGAAAAGAGAAAGTCGATGAAGAGAATCGATCAAAGTAGATAGGACCATTTGAAATGTTCATCGAGAAATGGTTCACAGCCTAAGGCTCTGAACCATTTGGTGGATCATTTTAACTTTTGGTTAAAATTTGACATATGGGAAGTTGTCAAATGGTTCAGAGCCTTAGCAAATGGTTCACAGCCTTAGTCCATAGTTAAAAGTTCTGCAGGGTTCCGGGAGGCATTGCATCCATAATTTTGATGATAAAGCGCCCATTACACATGTAAATATATTGACAAACATCGTATTGTCAATTTTCCGTACAATATTATCAATACATAAATATTGACAAAATTGTAAATCTCCACTAACCTCGAGACAACCGCGAGTATCCGGTCCAGCTCCTTTAACTTATATATAATATAAGACATCAATAATGTATAACGAAAATGATAATTCGGCTCTGTAAAGTTTATTCGATTGAGCCTGTACAAATAAAGTAATTAATAAAAATAAATATTGACAACATTAATGACAATACGCTAAAGCGCTCGTTACACGGTTCAATATATTGACAGTAAATTGATATACTGACAATATTATTGAAAAGGTAATATTGATGACGATGGATTGTTGAACAACTGATTTTCATTTCACTTTGTCAATATTCTTCCCCTACCCAAGAGGAGGGAGAAGGTACGTCATTTAGATAGACTGACTCACAAAGCACCTTCGCGCATGCAGCGTCAAATGCAGTGTTGCCATTAGTTCAAATTTTCGGGTGTGATATGCAATCGATTTCAAACTAAATAAAAAATGTATCTTTTTACAGTCACCAATCACCCAGGCTTCGTTTATATGGATGTACACGTTCTACAAAATTACAAGCATAATCATGTTATTTTTTTCTGCTGTTAAATAAAATAAATACTATCAGCGTTTCACATACCTACATGTAACGTAAATTAATTATTATATGCATGATTTTCATTTATGAATGTTTACCAAAACATCAGCATGATAGTTAGTATTTGGGAAACTGCGTACCGTTAACGTGGGGTATTCCACAAGTGTAGTAATTCCGCGCACTCGACAATCGATTTGATTAAATTCGATCAATTTGGAAGTACATGTCCTGTGTATTTTCTGTGTCCTGTCAAAAAGTTACAACATTTGGTATACCCATTTGGTATTTGAAGGACAAATCCGCGGATTTACTGCTCACGCAGAATAACGTTACATCCTATGTTAATTAATATACTATATGTGTGGTCATTAATACAGTTTATATCACATATCACATTAGTTGATTTTAATAATCATCAATAGTAATTAGCCAGAAAGTATAAGAAGATTTTCATCATGATAAAACTAGTGTATCATTATGATAAAGCTAAGCATTATGGGGGTTATTTCAAGAGTCGAAGTGACTTTTGTCTCTAGTGAAGTAAGAAAAGTCACGTCGTGGTAACGTGACTCTCCATTTGATTTGCATAGAGAGTAACGACACCACGACGAGACTTTTCTCACTTCACTAGTGACAAAAATCACTTCGACTCTCGGAATAACCCCCTATATGTATGGGTAACATTAGGTAAACATTATTGTTCTAACGAAACAGGAGAGTTCAGTGATATCAAAAATAAAATTGGATGCTATAATTAATCACCTAGTTCTTACATCATTCTGAGAACTAAATAGTAGGCCTGGAATAGATCATAATTTAACACTGTCTATTCTGAAAATCCTGAAAATTAATTTGAAATGAGCAAGTAAGTTGAAGTTGGGTGAAAGTTGGTTTCTATGTATATCCACGAAACCAGGACTCCGCTGTTTGGTAATTTTTGAACTACGGAACTGTTCGGTAAATGTTTACAAATCAGTGAAAAATTAAAAAAAAATGGAAATTTATGCCGAAAATGTTCAGACCTAGTTAACCCCTTTTGAACGATACAAAACCAAATTGTCGATTTTGTTGATTTCCTTCGAGTAACGGTCATTTGAAATTTTTCCAATTTGTTCAGCTGTTCAAAAACCCGAATTCAGTGTGTACACGGTAAGAAAAAATACTCAAAATTAAGTTAAAAAAAACTCAACGTTGGGTTCTATCATTTGAGGTCCGCCGTTGAGTGAATCAGAAAAGCGGCGTTGGTTAAAATTTACTCAACTATTGAGTAATAATAAATGAACTCAAATATAAGTTTATTTTCAATGAGGTTGCTTTTATGCGCCTTTAACCATTACATTTACACAAGCGTTGATAGACGAGTGGTCAACACACGGGCCCCGTAATCTCAATGTCCATGGTTCGGTTCCAGTCTGCTCCGTTTTATTATTTTTTTGTTAACTTGGTCAACGCCAGGATTACTCAAAATTGAGTTTTCTTCTTTAACTTAATTTTACCTAGCCCCACGGAAGCCACGTGATGAGTGAAAGGAACTCAATTTTGGGTACTTTTTTCTTACCGTGTAGCTAGTATTTTCAATACATACAGGTTCAGCAACCGTTTCTGTTTGGAGCCAAGTGCAAACATGAACTCTAAACACACTTTCTTTCGCTGATCCATGTTTCTTGTGTGGGGAAATTGAGACAAGTAATATTGACTTCAATACATTGAGGTAAAAACGACTTCTAACGTATTGCCATTAATGTTGTCAATATTGACGGTTTTTTGTCAATACATTCTGAGTATTGACAAAGTGAATTAAAATCAGCTTTTCGTCAATACTTGTCATCAATCATCGTCTTCAATATCACCTCTTCAATAATATTGTCAGTATGTCAATTTATTGTCAATATATTGATATGTGTAAAGGGCGCTTAAGATGAGCCGTCAATGACTCAAAACCAGCTGGCTGACATGCCGCCATGTTATTGAAACCAACATCTGAAACGTCACAATTCCAGTGTGAACTGCAAAAATGGCGTGACTGAATTGTCTTATTTTTACCAACTGAAATTATTTTCCCTTTTATGCCATATAAATGGTTGACTTCGTGGTAGAAAATCAAAAAAATAATATTTTATGAGTTCTAAGTTTATTTTTCACAAAATGTAAGCAAAAATATTAAGAATATCCATAATATCAGTCACGCCTTTTTTGAAATTCTGGCTTGAATCTTCTATTTGTTTACAAATTATGAGCTGTCAGTGGGGCCCACGATTCGCGGGCCCGCAGCGATGTTAGCTCTTTTCAAGGCAAGGCAAACAAGATAGGGATGCCACCCAGCTGCTCAAAACATAACCGGAAAAGCTTCATGAATTCTAATTCAGAACTAACTTTCGGTTCTATTTGTGGTGAGTGCGTATGAGCAAGTGAGTGATGAAGGCGATGAATCTTGTGGTGAATAAGCGCGTACTGATGGTTGACGGAGGTATGTACACTGATGGTGGGTGGTGGTGGTCAGTGAAAGCAGGTGTTGTTATAAAGTTCGGTTATGAAGTTTTGTTTTCGATGGCGTCGGTCTTGTTTCATTTTCGGTTGTCGTCCGTTGTTTCACGTGATCACGACAGGGAAGACAATGCGGGAAGGTTGAGTGGTGAATGTTGGTGACAGCAAAAATGAAAAACCGAACAGAAACGAACGGTGATGGAAAATTAACGATAAGAGACACATAAGAAGAAGAAGAAGTACAAGAAGGGGCAATTTGATGTTCTGCGCTTTTTCATCGGCGGTTTGGTATTTGTTTGAGGTTAGGTTTTTGTTTTCTTTGGTGTTGATGGTGGTGGTGGTGGTGGTAGTTGGTGGTTGGTGGTGGTGAAGCACAACGGAAGATGATAGTAAATGAGTTTGTTTTCCTTTCGTTGTCTCTGTTATAAAGATTGGGAAGGTTGTTTGTAGGGGGGTGGGGATTCGGAACAATAGGTCGAGTTGTTTGATTGACTTTTTGTTCTTGGTTGTTTTTTTTTTTGTTCAGAGGAACCGAGAAAAGTTACACCGATTTTTCTTCCGCTCGATCGATACCAATTCAGAGTTTCATTATTATTGCTCTTTTTGATTTTACTTGTTTTTAGGATCGAAGTTAATTTTGGAACGTTTTGGCGGAGAGAGCAGAAGAGCTCTCCCCAAGCCCGTTCGTATTTGTTATTCATCAAAAAAGAGAAACGACACGTCACGACACGTAATAGGGCAAAATATGGTGCTGTTGATACATACATAACGTACCCCTGACGGGAGGTGCCCCGTCAACTTGCAGTCGCAGATTGGACGCCCGCCTGGAGAATCTCACCGTGTGCCAGTTGTTGTCGTTCAGGACGCCCTGGCCGGCCAGTAGATTCTTTGGTTTCAGATATGGACGCGTTGTTATGGGAACGAGTTTTTTTTTTGGTTTTGATGGACGATAAAGAAGTTATTGATTGCGATTAAAATGGGGGAAGAGAAGATAGAGAGAAATGCTTTGAGGTTCTATTCTACATCGGTGAGTGATCGAACTTCGGAAAGCGTGTGAATTTTGTGAGCAAAAGTGCGTTACCTTCTCGCGTTCACCTAGTTTGACGTTTGCCCGTACGCGGCCCGCTACCAGTCCGATTTCGAGTCGATCGGATGAGCTCGACTCGGCACTGGTCAGCAGTAGGAGGCCGGCCGGGCGGGAAGTTTTGAACCGTATCACCAGCTCTTCGGTTTGTGTTCGGGTACCCTGAGTGCCACCGATCCAGATGGCCATGTGCTGCGAGCCGTTGAACGCCAGGGTTGCCGACTCGCGACCACACGTCGGACCGGTGAACAGTGTTGCCGAACAGTCGCACAGCGGTCGGTTCCAACCTTCCGTACATTGACCTCCGTTTTGACATGGGGACACCGAGCCGCCGCATTGATTTGCCACCACGTGGCAGGACAGTTTGATGGCTCCTGCAATTAAGTACAACATACACACACAATACAGCTGCCGTCAAGCTAGCCCCCGGCAGCTCTGCTTACCTGAATCCTGCTGCCTAGCGTAGGCAGCTATGTCGACCGGTTTCCCCATTAGCAACAGATCCCTTAAACATCCGACAAAACCCTGACGTAGCGTAGCTGTCCAGATCGCCGGCGGAATCACTACATCTGCATAGGGTGGCCCGATGCCTCCCACGTACATGGGACTATCCAGTTCCAGCTGCGTCGATTCGCCAGGCATCCGGAAGTCGTTCGACTGTCCATCGACGCCCACCTTTCCTTCGCGCCCATTCCGCTTCATCGTCAGCTCGTGCCAAACGCCATCGTCTACCCGTCGTCTTGACGCTCGGACCTTAACCGCTCCCGATCCCAGCTCCATGTGGATGTAGATGTGCCCGTTCAGCAGTTCAACCGCGAAGAAGTCCGGCTGCAAATGGACATGGTGTTTGTGGCAAATTCTTTTCCCTGAAAATTGCTTTCGAAATACTCACCCTCGATAGCTGTATCACAGTGTTCAGGATGATCAATCCGTTCGGTTCATTTGTGCGAAACTTGAACGACAGCATACTCTGCTTCGAAACATTCCACGGCGGTAGGAGCTGAAAATGGAAAACAGAATGACAGAACATGAAAACGATGATCCAATGGTGAGGGGCACGCAGATGATTGTCGATGCTGGATAAGATAATTCCGGTTTTAATGGTGCACACGGCCGGATGACAAATGAGTGTTTACCCGCGGTTGCATAACTTTTGGCGGAAAGCGGGCTCGCTCGTTCAAAGATGGCGCTGTACAGAAAATGGCAAAAACAAATATAAATTTTGCTCTGCCGCAGCGGGAATCCACTGTAAAGCTTTTCTAATTTTCTTTCTCGGAAGATGAACGTTTTTGCGTTTTGTTTATTTGAAAGTTTGCCGGAGCCGTTAATTATATTCATATTTCCCAGCATAAACTTTTTCCTGATTTCAAGCGCCGCGGGAAAATGTAAATGTAATTTAACCACCTGCCGTGTTTCTCCCTTTCTTGGGCGATGGCGGTGGAATCCTTCGGAACACGTGTGCTTTTTCCCGAGGAAAAAGTGCTGAAAGCACTTCCACGCTTTCCCTTTCACCACCACGCGGGTAATTTATGTATTAAAATGTACAACAGCAGGTAATTAGCATACATTATGAACCTACGACGTCGTCGTCGTCGTCGCCGGCGACCTGTACAATATCGACTGTGTCATATCGCAATTATCATTCGATGAAGAGCACCAACCATTTGCGTGTGTCGGGTGTGTTCATCTTATTTGGATGTAGACGGCTTTCTCGGATTCCTGCCTTCTGTTTCTGACAAATGGGCTCGTCTCGGAGCTCTCTTCCCGTAATGTTATTGACTGGTGAAATTAAATCAGGTCCGGTATCATTATCCTCGGTCCCGGAGTGTCACGCGATGATAAATTGCGTGCCTGAATTGGGGGTGTTGAATTATTTAGTATGAGTTGTGAGCCGTGTGCAGCAATGATTGCCGTTTTGAAGGATTTGCCGTGACGCTGCATGGGTGCATGCAAGTTTGTTTGTCAAGTTTGATATATCGACTTGCAGGGCCGTAGAATCTGATACAAAGTTGAGCTCCATTTACTCAGTTTCACTAAAACCGCACGGTTACTCATAGACTGAGTAACGATCTACTCGAACTTGAATAAATGTGACTCATATTCGAGAAACATTCGGTCTAATATGAGTGACATTTACTCCGTACCATGATTTATGTTAAACTGAGTGAACGGAGCTCAAATTTGAAATATTGGCAACACTGGAAATCAAGAGGTATTCATGAATGAAAAATGAATCGTCTGATTTTGTGGAGTACAACTATCAGCTACCAGAAAACATACAATAACAAAACTGCTTCCCCATGTTTGTTGCGACGCAGCCGAGTATTTTTCCAATTAATTTATTTGATAAAGCTCTAGTGAGAAAGCTTTACGGAGCCATGAGACAAACTACTATTTTTATCATTACTAAAAGTCGACATCATGTAGGTACGAAGAAATATAAGTTCACGATTGGAAATTTCTGATCAGAAGTGGTCCTCTGACATTAATTAAATGTAAGAAATTTCAAAGCCAATTTTCTATTTCCACACATATGTTTAGTCATGTGCCCAACGGATTTTCAAGATAAACGAAAAAGATACCAAAACCGATCCGAAAACACCTCCAGCTAATGACATTGGAATCTCCCACCACCTTATTGACGAATCATCGAGATGAAACTCATTCCCGATCCGAATGTGTGTTTGTATTCACTTGATTATCTCTATGATGTGTGCTTACTCCCCCCCCCTTCCCCCTCCCCTTGCTACTTAGATCGCTAGATTTGGGGTTAAAGTTTGCGCGTGGAAGAACACACCAAGAATAAGATGAACATCACATCGGCGGCGGTAGTGGCAAGTTCAACATCGACGACGTCAACGGTGCGAACTTAACAAGGAAAACTTTTCCCAACCACCCACCAGCCAACCAACCAACCAACCAACCAACTAGCAGCCAAAACAGACAGCCGGAGGCGGCAGGCAAAGCCACCAGAAGAACACTGATACATGTACGGTTTTATAACTTTCTGTTTAACGTCATTTCTCATCACCGCAGACATTTGCACCTCCACCTCAACTCGTCTTCGATTTTCTGAATACCGTGCTGAATCGAATGCCACGCGGAGACTTCGTTTCTACATCACTTGCTGTGAATGTTTATGAATTCGACTTTTAACGAATGTTTTGATTCTTGCGATGTACCATCCGTGGTGGCCCTCTGGGGTCACAGAAGCCCTCTAGGACTACTCTAGGACTCAGAAGAAGAAAAACTAACTTTAAATGTAACAGAATTCATGTTGGCAAAAATGTCTTGTAAAATTAGGTGCCTCAATACCGAAAATTAAGTAACTCGATGAATTTTACATTTGATTGAGCTGAAGTTCATGTCTGGTTGTCCTTGAATTTTATATCATTAGAGACTTAGAGAAGCTCATATCTTATGTTGTCTTGGAGCCAGAGGTGGTAAATTCCATAGACATACGTTTTCATAGTGACATTTTTTTTGTAAATAAGTTAAAGGTTTGTGTCCAAAGCACGACCGCATTGTTGACGTAGAAATACGAGATTATTTGCTTTTCCATTCAATTATATATATGACAAAATGACAAAATAAATGGTTTAGAAATTTAATTGAAAATTCGAATACCCTGATATTTTTCACGGATGACCCTTGGAATTTTCATTAGAATTCACTTGAAATTATCATTCTAATTTCCTCAGAACTCAAAACTCTCGGATCGAATTCTCATAAGAACTCTCTTTACATTCTTCTCGGAATTTATTTAGAATATTCATTAGAAACTAACCTGCAATTCTGTAGCTTCTTGCGATGGCCTTCATTCGCTGCATGCCTGGATGACCACGATGGAGCTGTTCGAGGCATCGTTTTTGATGCAGCGACGGAATGATGAGTCGTTCGGCAAATAGGATGCACCCATCCACCACGGAGAGCGATTTCTGTCTCGATTGGAACCGACGAACGTCTGACCTGTCGAGTTGATCAACCGCGAGAGCAAGTCTGCGTTGCCAAACTTCTCGGTGGACTCGTACTCGATGTTGAAATCGTAGAGCAGTAAGTTGAGAGCAAAGCGTTGGAATCGGTTCACAGTGTAGACTGGAGTTCCCTTTTTGGAACCAAAGATGTGAAGCAGAAGGCGATGATCGGTCTGAAGCTGGAAGTGCCGTCCGAAGCGCATCTTGTAGAACTTCGTAACGGCGAAAATGATGGCCAAACCTTCACGGTCGGGCTGACTGTATCCTTGCTCTGCCTTCGTGAGTGCCCTGGATGCGTGTTGGACGACCTTTGTGGTACCGTCGGGGAACCTGTGGCTGATGGTTGCCCCGAGTCCAACGGAAGAAGCGTCAGCAGAAACGATGATCTCCCGCTTCGCACTCTGGATTCCAGTGAAACTTCGTTTATGTCTTAAGGAGATTTTCAAGCGGGTAGCGGAGCATACGCATGTTGGGGTCGAACTTGCCATAGTAGTTGATGACCCCCAAGAACGATCGCACACCGGTTGGAGGCAGCAGCTTGGATATTGCCTCGACCTTAACCGGATCCGGGCGTAACCCACGATTGTCGATGATGTGCCCCAAGGTTACGGATTTGCTGCTTGCGAAACGTACACTTCTCGACTCGGATCGTCAATCAGAAATCTTGGATACGCTGTAGAACTTACCGTAGACTGCGGTCGTGATAACCAGAGGTACCCTTGTGTCCGGCTAACATCGTGTCGATGTGCTGCTGAAACGCACCAGGCACGATCTTCACACCCGGCAGGAGGCGGTTGTACAAGTAAAGGCCACGATGAGTGTTGATCGTCAGCAAACTACGGTACTGTTCATCGACTTCGAAGTGGAAGTGGATACTGCTGTGGTTGGAGAGCTGAGTTCAGAGTAGTCTCCGCAAATCCTGATGGAGCCATTGGCTTTGCGAACTACGACGATCGGAGCGGCCCACTCCGAATAATCGACCGGGGTGATGATTTTCAGCTTCTCTAGCCGGTCGAGCTCGCGGTCAACGGTGTCATACATTGCGTAAGCTACCGGACGCTTCGGACCGAAGACGGGTCGAACGTGTTCTTTCAGCTCTAACGTTTTGCTGCACAAGCCGAGCTGCTCGCTGAAGACCTTTGGAAAATACGACTTGAGTGCAGCTGTCGACGGTGGTAATCCTGACACGTGACAGCAGAAGGTGTCCATTGGCACGGACCAAAGGTTGAAACTGTCGACCAAATCGGATCCGAGTAACTTGTAAGTCCTTCTTACCTGCCAGCCTATAGCTGGCCCGATTTTACCTCGGCGAGGCGGCTACGTACAGAGTACTTCTCCCAAAGAAGTTCGGATTTGGATGGATTTATAAGAAAAAGAGAAAGCAATATGAAATTTAAGACGTCTATTGACTAATCTGACCTTTCCCTTTCTCTCCTCGTTGTCCTCGGTGTTACTCGGTGGGGCCCTTCGACGATAGCGTCGGTGGTTGCTGCTTGTTCACGTCGGCTCCAGACACGGTCTGTGCCGAGCGTCTCCTACTTCACTTTCAGCTGCCTAGCAGCGGTCCTTTGCTTTTAGTGGGAGGAATGAGCAAGGCTCTTTTATCGGAACCCCCCCCCGGCGACGATGGTGACGAATCACCGAACCAACTACTCGCCGTAGATGGTCCCGGTAGTCACCACAGTGCACTACCCAGGCGAACGCTCCTTCGGTTCGGCCAGCTTCGTCCATCCTTGGCTCTTAACTGCGGTAGCGAGACTGGCTCTACTGGCTGAGTCACCACAGTGAGAACGGTGGGTGTTCGGAGATCCTTGGTGGTTAGCCGGGAAGCGGAAAAATCCTCCTCCTGCTCACGAACCACGGCACTTTTCGGGGAAACGACGTCACTATTGAGCTACGATGCTGGGAATTATCCCTTCAGCGGACACACGCCACGAAAATGGCACTCCAACTCTCGTTTCCACTTAAACGGACGGGGCAAAAAACGTGTCGCATTCCAACCGTGGCTCGTAACTTTCTCGTTCGT